ATTTGCATTGTGGTAGCAATTGTACAATACTGCTTAATGTGATTGAACTATGAAATGATGATATATGAAGGTGTTTTTTTTTAAGTGACCCCCAAAAAAAGTAGAGACTTAGATGGGGAGGATATATTGAGAAACAGTAACTTCACATTTGTAGCATTTTTATTTACACTCATATTGGCTAGTTCATGATGATAACCCAGATGTGCAAACTGATGACAATGGTTTGAATTTGTTTTGGCAGGTGAAGTAGTAGCCTTAAAGAAGGTGAGACTTGACAATGAGAAAGAGGGCTTCCCAATAACAGCCATTCGGGAAATCAAAATTCTTCGGCAATTGATCCATCGGAGTGTTGTTAACATGAAGGAAATTGTCACAGATAAACAAGATGCATTGGATTTCAAGAAGGACAAAGGTACTAGCAGACAACTCAGCTATAGAGTAGTTTGTTTTGATCTTTCCTTTAACTTGTTTGCTTATTGGAATTCTTAAAAAATAGGTAGTGTTAAAGTACAATTTCTTTATGTAATCCTTACCAGAATCCCGATGTGTTAGACATTTCTTGTGCTGAACAGTGGTTTTATTAAATAAGTCTTTATCAGTGTATTCTTTATACTTTAAAAAAAATTATTAATAGTTATTAAAATATGCACCAGGAAGGGTCTGCTGAACACCTGGTAAGACCAAAAGAACAATATAAGAAAATCCTCCAATTTACTTTTTCTAAGTTTTTTAAAGTCTGTTATTTTGGTTTTAATTGTTATAATGACAATAATTGAAATTAAAACCTACTTGAAGCATAAATTTTTTTCATTGTTTCCATACTTAAGTTTAAAGTAGTCAGCACAAAATATGCAATATACCTTTTTTTTTTCTTTTAAGCAAAAGGGAAGAAATTTATTGGAGCCCATACAGAAAACCCTAGAGGGCCCAGCATACCCTCCTGTGTAGGCATGCCCAAGCAAAGGGTCACACTATTCACTATACCCCCATGTCCCAGAGAGACTCCCCTTGAGCCAAGCCCCAAAGCTGGAAGACTGGTTGGGGGTAGGGACATGCAATATACCTTGTCTAATGCAAATCTGAGTTAAGTTTAAAGATGAGCAACTGAAGATAGATCCTTTAGGCCCAATAAAGTGATGATATCTGTGAATAAATATAATTTGGACTCTTAAAAGAATATGATTGAGGAACATAAAATTAAAGAGAGTAAAGGATAAAGTGAAGCCAGATTCCCTTAGAAAGTCTCCAGGATATTAGCACTATGGGAGTTGTACCCCTTGAATTTAAGAAAAGTGGTTGTAAAGCAAACAAAAAGAAATTGTACTTACACAACAGTATGACGAGGTGCCTACAAATATTTATGGGGAAATGGAATTAGAAGAATGAAATTTTGTCACAAATTTCTTGTATTTAGGGCAATATCTGAATAGACTTAAGAATACTTTGCTCTCTTTCTGGGTGTGTCTCAACCGTTTTTTGTTTTTTTCCGATTATAAAAATAATACAATGTGTGGGCAGTGTCTGGAAGGATTCTCAAGAAATTGTTAATCAGTTGCTTCTAGAAATGGTTTGCTTTTAATCCATGGCATTCAGTCCTATTTAAATCATTTATTCCTATAGAAGTCATAAAATAATGACTGGTTAGGGTTCATTCCCATTGTAATATTGCATAAATGGACCCAGAATTAATTTACCATTCTCATGTTAATAGCCAGTGTCCAATTTTCTTTTAGCATTATAACCAACATTGCAGGAAGTATTTTGTGCATAAAGTAGGACTTTTTTAATATATCTCTCTGAAATAGCTTCTTAGAAGTATAATTTTATCTTTAATATTAGATTGCTTTTAAGAAAACGTGTCACAATTTCTGTCCTACCAGTGAGTGACTGGCTCATTGTACCCTTTCCCACATTGAGGGGTTTTGTTTGTTTTTATGTCGTCTTGGTAGGTGTAATATGATGCCATTATTTAGGATTATTTCTTTCATTACTGCTCAGTTTTTTCCACATATATTTATCTGTTCTATTTTCTTTCTCGTTAAGCTCTTTTTTTATACATTGTCAACCTTTCTAATCTTAATATTTTTCATATTTTGTATGAGGTTGGTGTTAGGGTTCCCTAGAGAAACAAAACCAGGACACTTAAGATTTTATATACATGTATATGCTTTGATATATATAACACGAAGAAATAAGCAGCTAATTAGTCCACAGAGCAGTACAGAGAGCTCAATTCAACTCACGAAGGCTACTGGGTGTAAGTTAAGGAAGTAGACAGTTGAGTCTTCTGTAGAGCAATACACGCAGCAAACAGCAGGGCAGGTCACCATCAGTCAGCCAGAAGACAGGGTCCGACAATCCTCAGCTCAAGTGATATATATAACAGCAGTGTGGTGAAGCAGGTCTCGAAGTCCACGGGTTGGGTGTCCCACAGGTAGTGTAGCTCAAAAGTTGAGGCAGAGAACTAGCTGGCCCAATCATTGAAAGCAAGAGACAGAAAGGCGAGGCTCACAGATCCATTTATCTCTTCGCCTTTCAATTAAACTGAAACCTTATTAATTCTACATGTGTTTATTGGCCAGGTTCGCGCAGTAAACTTATCACAGGTCTTAGGTGGTAATCCCTAAGAGATTGTGTTTCTGTGAACATTCTGTGTTAAAAAAAAAAAAGCTATAGAACCACACTTTGGGGAAAAAATGTGTATTTGTTTAAATGGTTCATACTATTTCAGAAAGTTTACAGGCTTTTTGTTTTTTTCCCAAACCATTTATTTATTTTTTACCATTTATTTACAGACCTTTTGACATTTAGCCCCTAGATTAATAACTCCTGAGTTGCTACTATGAAGCAGAATTTTGAATTGGGTAGATCTTTGTCTAACTAGATGTAGTATTGTGTTATAAAAGTTGTCCTTGCATCCCCTTACAGAAGACTCTGGAGGAGGAGACGAGCTAGTCAGGGTGCAGTATAGCAACAATGAAACATACAACTTTCTTCTAGTTCTTTAATGCTCCCTCCCTCCCACTATCCTGATCCCAATTCTGCCTTACAAATCCAGCTAGACCAGCGGATATACACTGGTACAGATAAGAACTGGAAACACAGGGAATCCAGGAAAGATAAACCCCTCAGGACCAATAATGAGAGTAGCCATACCAGGAGGGGAAGGAGAAGGTGGGGTGAAAAGGGGGAACTAATCACAAGGATCTACTTAATGGAAAGGCCTCAAAATGTACTTACAGACAATACAAAGCAAATGAGCATGGCTGTGATACAAATAAAATTTTACATATAACAGTAGTGGGCTGGATTTGACTGTAGGGCCATAATTTACCAATTCTTTGTTTAGATCATAAAAGTCAATTCTGTCTGAGTATGGCTTTTTCTCCCTCAAGATAGTAGTCCAAAGCTATTAAACTAATAGAAAATTGCTTCAAATACTAGTTCTGTTATTTATTGTTAAAGGGGGCAAAACATTGAGATAATTTAATTCCTTCATAAATATAAAGGATTGTTCCAAAGAATCGTATGGTCTTCTGCTAATTCTAAAATTATATTAAAATTTGAGACATTGCCATTGTACCAACCTTAATTCTTTGCTTCTAATGCTTGATTTGTAGGGGCTTTTTACCTTGTATTTGAATATATGGACCATGACTTAATGGGACTGCTAGAATCTGGATTGGTGCAGTTTTCTGAGGATCACATCAAGTCATTCATGAAACAGCTAATGGAAGGATTGGATTATTGTCACAAAAAGAATTTCCTGCATCGAGATATTAAGTGCTCTAATATTTTACTGAACAACAGGTAACAGTAACAATAACCAAATAAGGCTAAGCACTTTTATTTCTCTCCACTAACATCTTTCATTTCAATTAGTTAATTGGGATTATAAATCCAATAATGTGATTTTTTTTTTTCCATTTATAAATACTTGATGTTTGCAGCTTATAATAGGAGTACTCTGATCACTGGAGCCTGCAGACTCAGTTTTGGTAAGGAAACAAGGATTTATAGGGAATCCTGTAGGACAGAATTGCCCCATATGGTTTCCTTGGCCTTAAATCTTTACAGAGCAGGCTGGTAGGTTTAAACCTCTGACCTTCTGGTTAGTCAAATGGTTAATTGGCTGCGCCAACAGGGTTGTAAAGGTTTCTTAATTGCAAGCATTCTAGGGATCAGTCATCCTGTAACCATGTTCAGAATGTTTTTTCCCTTGATTAATAATTATTATTATTATTATTGTGGCCCTATGCAAAATCAAACACATTTAGTCCTTATTGATAGTCCCGATTTAGTGGAAGAGAATGTGCCTGTTCATATAACTGCTCTTGGGCCTTTCTCACAACTCTTCAGAGTAAATAGAACTGTAGTCGGCAATTGATCTCTCTGTCTAGCACTCTTAACTGTTAATATTTTACACAGAAATTCGAGGTGTGAATGTTTTAGAAGTTTTTATTATTTGCTCTCTCTCTGGTTATTTACTACACTGCATTGGTGATAGGTGAAGGAATCTGTGTGGTCTAGTGATGTGTTTGTTGATAACCTTACCTTTAAAGGATGAAGAACAGTCCAGTGTTTGGTTCTTTAGGCACTTGAATTATTTGTATCCATTTTGTTTAAATAATTTTGTTCATTTCTACTTAAAATATTATTATCTATAGAAAACAATTCATTGCTATCAAGTCGATTCCACTAGGACAGGGCGCGACTGCCCTGTGGGTTTGTGGAAATGTAATTCTACAAATGTAGAAAACTTTCTTCTGCAGAGCAGCTGATGGTTTCAAACTGTTAACCTGTGGTGAGCAGTCAAATATGTCACCACTATGCCACCAGGTCTCCTTAATCCAGGGTAACATCAGTCCAAAAAAATCAATATATTATCTTTATAGAAATAAGAAATTACAACATATTTCATATTAAGCAGGTCACTATTAGAGCGAGAAGGGTGATATACACAATGGCAAGAGATGAAGGTGGACAGTTGCAAAGAGCTATTGTTATCCACTGGAGTTTCTGCTTAATCTATAGGTGATACAAAGCTATTGAGTACTGATTTGGATTTTTTAAAATGATTTTCTTTTTTTAATTTTATAATTTTATAAAATTATAATTTTTAAATTATACAAGCAATGCATTATTTTTAGAGACCAAATTTTTTTGCATCTAGGAGGGAGAGTGCTCTGTTGCTAAATGGTCACCATATGTTGTGTAGCCTGCAAGCAGGGAAGTATGTTAAGAACATAGAAACACTAAATGAACTAACCAAGGCATTACTGATATGGATGGACAGAGTGAACTAAGACCAGAAGACGTTGATCTGAGTGGGGAATGAAAGTACTCTTACATAGCACACATCATTTTTCTGACTTGAGACTAGCTGAGTGGTGGTTGACACTATCAGGCAATATAGGGAAAACAGCAGGAAAAGTAGATTGGGTGGGGTGAAAAGTGAGTCTGGATGTCTGTAATATATATAGAATAGTGGTTTCTAATAGACCTGTAGAAGATCCAAACAGCCATATAGTTTTGGAGTTAACCAGTGTAAAGATATCAAAAGGTAGAACTCAACGGGATGCTTATAGGAAGATAATATGAATGCAGGAAGGGAATGATCCTAAATAATGATGTAGGTAGATTGTAAGAGCTAAGAAAATCTCAAAATTAAAGGGTCATTGATCACATTATGAGATAAGTATATGGGTGGTACAAGTAACAAGAGGGAGAAGTAGATAAGCTTTTGTTTTTAAGGATAGCAGAGACAGGCATATTTTAAATGCTAAAGAGAAAGAAAAGAGAGAGGGAGAAGATGAAGACTAAAAAGAATACCCAAATACTGGTAATTTAAAGGAATAAAGTTCTAGAGTTGGGATCAAGTCCACAGTGGGTAGAGGGATTAACCTTGAATAAGAAAAAGGATTGACATATTTTCTGTAATTAAGGAAAAGAGGAAGGACCCATTATAGTTTCAAGTAAATTTTGTAGATAAAAGGGAACTTCCTTCTTAATTATTTTTGCAGTGGAAATTAAAAGCCATACTCAAGTGTGAAAGGGTAGGAAGTTGAATAGCTCATTAAGGAGAATGCCAAAGGTTTGTAATGATGAAAGATGGCTTACTAAAGACAAACCCAACTTAAAGGCACTCTAGCTACAGCATAGATTGTAAATCCTTACTGGGAGTAGCCAGCCTCATCTTTCTTCTGTGAAGTGGCTGGTGGTTTTAAACTATTGACCTTGCCGCTAGCAACCTAACACTTAGCCCCATTGCACTGGTTCTCCTAAGATAAGTAAAAGGACTAATATTATCATTCGGATCCCAAGACACCACAATTTTTGCTGTGACATCAATCTATATAACCTATATGATTTTATTTTTTCCTTTAGTTTATGTTCAACTCTAGTGAGAAGCAGGAATGGTAAATTCTATTGATCCAGCTTGGAGACTTTGGAATGAGAAATATAAGATCACAAGTGAGGAATCATTAGGAGAGATTAATTGGTGAAGAAAGGAAATACATTGTAAGGGAGAGCTGATAAACTAGGAGAAAATGAGAGAATCTAGTAACTTGAAGATCTGTGGTCAGGCCATAGATCAATGGTCTCAGAAAGGAATTCCTGTAAATCTCTTAAATGTACCTTATTCTTTTGATGTTTTACCCTAATAACCAGTATGATTAACTTTCTTTTTTTGATGTCAAATGTTTACCAATGCTTGCACACTTCATGCTTTATTACAATAACGACTCATTTGGAAGGGAAAAGCAGTACTTAGTAAAAGAGCTATCAAGATGCTTTATCATATATAATTACATTCCGTATGCATTTATTTAGTACTCTAGGTAGCACAGTAATTAATTATGTTAGAGTATTTAGGATCAAATGTCATTATGTGTATAATGTAAAGTACTCCAAAAAAAATAAAATGAAGCCACATATTATAAGTACTCACCAAAAGGTTGTTTATTCAAACCAATTTAAAATCACCTTGGAAGAAAGGCTTGACCTGCTTCAGAAAATCCGGTGGACCAGTCAGTTTTATTTTGCCGCACATTGGGTCACCAAGACTCAGAATCAACTTGATTATTTGGCTGGCTTTTATTTGGTTTTTTAGTTTCTGTATCAGTCAAGGCCCAGTGATGGTTAGTGATCAAATTCTCACCTTCCATCCAGATACATGGGTTTGATTCCCAGTCAGTGTACCTCATGCCTAACTATCCCCCATCTTTCGATGAGATTTGTGTTGCTGTGATGCTGAACTGGTTTCATTGGAGTTTCCAGACTATCCCAGATTAGGAAAAGCAACCTGATGGTGATCTAAAAACTGAGGGAAAACCTGGATCACAGCGCTTCGTTCCCAATGTGCATGGGGTTGCATGACTCGGAGGGCTGACTCCATAGCAGCTAGCATGTGCCCGACAGGAAATGTGGTCAATATTTAGGTGATAGTTAGGTCTAGCACCTTTTTCATAACTATCTGTCTGTTGTCATTTTAACTTTCATTCCTGCTTGTGCCTTGGGTCTGGGATCATCTCAAGCTTTCAATAAGAATAATAAGATTTTTAAAAAAATGAATACTAAGATTAGAAGACCCTACTTTACCCCAACATGGCCAAAAGAAAAACCACAGCCATCAAGTTAATTTCAACTCATAGTAGCCTTATGTAGGGTTTCTGAGACTGAATCGTCACGAGAACAGATAACCTCATCTTTCTAAATACTGTGACTAAATTAATTTTTCTGTTAATATCTTTCTAAACCCCACGCTATATTTTATATTTTACCAGTTATTTCAAAAGTGTCATTAACAGCTAGTTTGTTTAAATTAGAATCACTCAAGGATGGTGAGATAGATATGGTTTGTTAGGTCTTAAGTCTCTGTTAATCTAGAATAGTACATCTCTTCTCCCTGACACTCCCCCCTTCCCCCAAGTATTCTAACAGGTTCTAGGCACTGTTGCTAGTCCAGAAATAAAGAGCCAAATCCAAATCTGCAATACTAGTCAAGAAAAAACATGAGGCGCATTGTAAACAGAAGTAAATAGTCAAAAGAAGCCTAATCTGAAAGAGCGACGACCATCGAGAGTTAGAGAGCAGAGGTTAAAGTTCATTCTTGTAATTCCTTTAACTCCTGCTTTAGCACTATACTTTTCAGGTGTGGTTTGGAGACTGCTGGTGTCACTCATGAAAGAATTGTCTCTTGTTTTACAGTGGGCAAATCAAACTAGCAGATTTTGGACTTGCTCGACTCTATAACTCTGAAGAGAGGTAAGACATCAAAATTATATGTTGGAAAATAGGAAAGAATTATTCTTATTCTTGGATATTCTAGCAAGTTGCAATACCTGTCAGAGTTCCTTAAAGTTACCACCAGTTTTTACATGGTAAATTCTACTTAAATGATTGCATCGGGCCTGTTTGATACAAATCAACCCAAATTGAAATCTAAGCTCCTTCCTCTCTTATTATCTGTCCAGTTAATTTTGAACTTTTATGTTGCTATGGAACTGTTATTAATTTCCCATCTTTAGTTAGCAGCTGTTTTTATTTTTAGAAATTGTAGTGTATATATATGTTTTGTACAAGTCTTTTTTTTGTACAAGCCATTTTTTATCAAAAGCCAATGTATATTTATGTCATGATTGTGTTTACATTCCAGTCGCCCTTATACAAACAAAGTCATTACTCTATGGTACCGGCCTCCAGAATTGCTGCTGGGAGAGGAGCGCTATACACCAGCCATAGATGTTTGGAGCTGTGGGTAAGAATCACTTAACTTTTTCTTGTCTTTTGTCTGTAGCTCAAGTATTATTGACATAAACCAAAACCAAACTCAATGCCATTGAGTCAATGCTGACTCAACCCCTTATGGGTTCCTGAAACTGTAACTGTTTACAATAGTAGAAAGCCTGGTCTTTCTACCGAGGAGCGCTGGTGGTTTCGAACTGCCAACCATGCAGATAGCAGTCCAAGGCATAACCACTACACCACCAGGACTTCTATATTCTGTTTTCTCTCCACATTAGATTTTCAAAGTTCTTTTTTTAAATTCTAAAGGTATAAATTTATGGCAAGATTATAGAGCAGTCTGCTCAACATGTTTCATTATTGGAGACAAGCTTTTCTGGTAAAAAAATTTTTTCTTCAATTGTTTGGAAGGAACTTTTTGAATTGATGTTCAAATATGAGATTTTTAAAGTTCAGAGATTGTTATTGATAATGTCTCGAGTCTTCATCTCTAGGCCCCTGTGTCTCTTTTTCTTTTGCCTTATAATTTACAAAGGTCATTTGTCCTATAAATCCACACAGTCTGGATTTCGCTGATTGCATCCTCATTGTGTGTGTGTATGTGGGGGGCCGTTGTTAAAGGTCGATTCTCTACTCTTTTGTATTTCTTCTGAAATGTAGGTGGGTTCCAATTTGATTCCCAACATTCCAAAGCTCCAGGTGGTTTTGAGTACTTTTAGCAGAAGTTTATCATCTGTTACATCAAGTTTGTGGGCACTGTGCAATGGGAACCTCTTCACAGGACAGACATTAAATGAGCACACTGTAGAGAATCTAAAAATAATAACACAAGCTACTATAAATTAGTCTGCTTTGTATTACCATGTGTAAGTAGTTCTAAATAATATCAGTGGTAAAACATTCCTGCTATGCTCATATACACGTTCTATATCACTTTATGTAATTTGCCATTATGTTCATTTTATACAATATCAGCTATTTATGGTCACTGCTCAGATTAATTAATTCATTGTGTTTATTTTGGAAAGGCTAAATTGTAATCACATCGTTCCTTTCTGGAATAATTTTATAGTTTCTCACCTATGATATTTGGGAAATCCTACATACAAATCACAGTGGCCTAATAGGACAGAGTTGAACTGCCACTTTGGGTTTCCAAAACTTTTAAATCTTTGCAAGAACACACAGCCACATTTTCTTGCAGAACAACTGGTGGGTTTCAACTGTCTATAAATCAGAATTTGCTTGATGGCAGTGAGATTTGTGAGTTGTATACAAATATACAGCTAAAGGATAAAGATTTGATTGTTAGATTTTATTTATCTGGGGTTTTTTGTTTTGTTTTTTAAGAGTAGTTTCTTAACATCCTCCAAAAATAACTAGTAAACGGTTATTTTGTTTTGTTCAATATGAACTCAGATTTAACAGAATTGATGTTATCATTCATTTTGGTGATTTATTATTCTTATTACAGCACAGTTTGTTTAATCTTTCACCAGTGAGAATTTATTCAAATAAAATCTTGATTCCTTTTGATACTACCATAGTAATTGGATGTCGTTTTTAGTTTGATCATCTTAACCTGGACCTGAAATCAGCTCTAAGGAGTCTTGGTTCCTTTTAGTTAAAGGCTATAATTTGGATGTTAGGGCAGGGATGTTTTAAATAGGCTATACCTTCTTCTTAGGTTGTGTGATTTATACATATTCACTGTCCTTGACCCACATACTTTTTGACTCAGACATGGGTACTTCTCAGTGAACAACCTCACTTTTCCCCCACTACTTTTCACCTCTATTAATGTCAGCCTTTAAAGGAGCACAACGGGGGTTTTATATCAGAATTCAAAAGGGTTAGACGAGAGAGCATCAGTTCTGTGGTAGCCTACCCAAATCAAATGAAGCTTTAGTTAAATTTTAGTGACTCAAGCTGAGTGTGTTTGTGTTCTGGACTATTTCCTTTTACAGGATTAGCATTTAAATTATCACAATTCCTCTAAAGGTAATGCCCCATTAAGATGCATGGGGAAAGTTCATAGCTCTGTTGGTATTATTATACTAGCCTTTATAACCTACCACCTCAGTGCAGCTAGCAGCGAAGTGTGGATTACATAAGAATGATATCTTCCCCACAAAAGGACCACAAACAGAAATAAAAGAAAATATAACACGCCTGGAAATAACGTCTGTGAAGATGCTTTTTACAGAGATTTGTCAAGAGCAGTTAGTTTGTAAATCAAAGGGAGAAACTGGAAAGACTAGTACAGCAAATGGTACCTGGTATCTTGAAAATCCAGGGAACCCTGATAGTGTAGTAGTTACGTTTTGGCCTGCTAGGTTCAGCAGTTCAAAACCACCAGACCCTCCTCAGGAGAAAGAAGAGGCTTTCTACCCTTGTGAAGAAGAATTACAGTCTCAGAAACCCACAGGGTTCGATGAGTTGAATTCCAGCTTTGTTTGTTTGTTTGTTTATGCCTTCTAAATTACTAGTGTGACTATTGTATTTGGGACTTGATCTGAAAGTTAATATGGAAAATAAAACTGAATTTTTTTAAACTAAATTTATTTTTATATTTCTGGATAAGCTAAGAATACTGGAAGTGAGAATTTTGTTGTTTGATAATGCAGTCAGCATATTAGAAAGGCACTAATTATTTTAAAAGCTAGTTATTACATAAAATTCAGTCACCCTATGTTATTTCAAAGTAAAACTGTATTTCATTTCAAAGCACAAGCCAAACAGAATCCTTTGTCTATTATTTTTCTTTCCTACTTGTTAAAAAATTATTTTAGTCATACAAAAAAATATACCGTATTCATCATTTTTATTTACATATTTGAAATAATTTTCACTTTACAGAATATTAAAATGAACTTTGGTACATCCTATATCCAAATTCCCTTTTTTGTTGTACACAGTAGAATGCATATTTTATTTTTTCGGTTTTATTGGCATTTCTTCCACATATACAATTCAACAGTACAATTAGATAGTAAACTGCATATTTTAACATGTACAGTTTGACAAGTTTTGAAGTGTGTGTGCTAGTGCCCCTTTATAGTCTCTCTCAACTGTGTTCACCTTTTCCCTGGCTTTCTGTTGCTATACATTAATTTCCATTTTTAAAAAAATTTATATAAATAGAATTGTTGATATACAGCATGTTATCTCTGGCATCTTTCACTTAGCATAATTTATTTGAGATTCATTCACATCAGTCATTAATGTTTAACATTTTAGGACATTTGCCTTACCATCTGTGTGTGTGTGTGTGTGTGTGTGTGTGTGTGTGTGTGTGTACATTGATGGATAGTTGTAAGATATACAGTAGATAATACATGTACTTAGAATAAAATGTGTGTGCATACAAACACATCACATTTTTTCCCAGAACTCTTTGAGGGTAGTTGTATGTATCATGTTCCTTTACCTTTTAATATTTAATTTAATGTATATTACATAGAACAAAGATAATCTCTTGCATAAAATTCCGTGGTTGTCATTTCCTGATCTTTTTAAATTTGCAACTCTTTCCCATCTTTACTTACCTTTCATGACTTATTTTTAAGATTAGACTACTTACTATATAGACTATCACTCAATTTGGGTTTATCTGATTATTTCTTCATGATTAAATTCAAGTTAGGTGTTTTTGACTAGAATACTACATAAGTGATGGTACATTTTTCTCATGGTATCACATCTGTAGTTAGTAATCTATTTGCCGTTACTGATCATGTTAATTTTGGTCACTTTGTTAAGGTATTGTCATAGTTTTTCCCATTGCATAAATACTCATTTCCTTTTATAATAAGTTGTGAGGGGCTACTGTGAGACTGTGTAAGTATATGTATGTAGGGTTTTTTTGGTTTATTTTTTGCTGTTACGTTTCCTAAATTTTTATCTTATTTTAGTTTTAATCATTTTATTGGGGGCTTGTACAAGTTTTATCACAATCCATACATCCATCCATTGTGTCAAGCACATTTGTACATTTGTTGCCATCAGCATTTTCAAAACATTTGCTTTCTACTTAATCCCTTGGTATCAGCTCTTCATTTTCCCCCTTCCCGTTTCCTAAATTTTATTAGTTTGTTGTTATTATACACAGCAAAACATACCAATTCAACACTTTTCTACATATACAATTTGGTGACTGCTTACCTTAAGTTATGTAATCATTCTCTTACCTTTTCAGAGTTGTTTCTCTCATTAACATAAGCTCACTGCACCCTAAGATTCTGTCTTGAGTTGCTATTGTCAACATAAATGGTTCTTCAATGAATATATTGCTCAAGACAGATCTTCATCCCTAGTTAAGTTAAACTGTTGTTCAGTTTTAATCTGACTTAAAGGTTTATTTTTGGCTTAAAGTTTAAAAACTACATGAGGGAAACTGCTTTAGGGGTTCATCTACCCTGCATGGCTCCAGAACATCTAAATTCAAAAGGATTTGTCGATTTTGTCTCTATCCCCCCCCCTCCCCTTAATGAAGATTCTTTTTTAGAATCTTTGATCAAAATGTTCAGTAATGTTAGCTGGAAACAATCTAGTTCTCCTGGTCTCATGACAGAAGAGTCAGTTTTTCACAGAGGGTCATTATAGTTTGAAAAGACTTTTCAAATAAGAACTGTATTTCAGCATAATTTATTTGAAAAGTTTACTGAAACTATTCCTAGCTGCTTACAGTTAACTTTTTTTTATAAATGTGCAGTGTCTAATAAAATAGAAAAGCTTATCTACTGTTAAATTTTAACTTTTTTATTTATTTTCACTGCAATAAATAGTTTCTTTTCATTTACAAAGCTTTGGAAACTATATTTGGGATAATACACAGTATAGTTTATCAAATGTACCCCAGTAGACTATAACAGTTTATTGAGACATCTTTTAAGTGGGTTGTAGGGATTTCTCTCCTGACATCTCAGTATTTTTCTTTCTAGGTGCATCCTTGGGGAATTGTTCACAAAGAAGCCAATTTTTCAAGCCAGTTTGGAACTGTCTCAGCTAGATCTGATCAGGTACAGCTATACTTATGGTCTGATCCCCAAGGTGTTTGTTTTAGGTAATATTTTCCTTTACGTTCTAATACTTTTTAGATACTGTGCTAAATTATTTTCATGCTCCTTATGTCCAAAAAAGTTTCTCTAATTTTTAGGACTACTATATTTTTTCATGGAATATATATACATAAATATAGTATACCACAAAATTTTTAGGTCTTATCTTGCATATTTTTTATATGAAAAAAAATGCCAATTCAGGGTGGTTGTTGTTTTTTACTTTGTTTTCAGTCGACTCTGTGGTAGCCCTTGTCCAGCTGTGTGGCCTGATGTTATCAAGCTGCCCTACTTCAACACCATGAAGCCAAAGAAGCAATATAGGCGGCGTCTACGAGAAGAATTTTCATTGTAAGTTTAGCAAAAATATACATCTGGTTTCTATATCTAACTGGTGTTAAGACTTGACTTTTTCCTGACTTAGGGGTTTACTGTTGTCCTAGCTAACTATGAGAACACATTGTAGGAAAACAAAATTTTGATCAGTGTGTATATTACAACTTTTTAAAAGTAATATTCTCGGGGAAGAAATGGGTAGCTGATATCAGGGGCTCAAGTGGGAAGAGAATGCTTTGAACATGATGGCAGCGTATGTGCAAATGTGCTTGATACACTGGATGAATGTCTGGATGGTGATAAGAGATGTTAAGAGCCTCCAATAAAAGTTTGGTTTTTATTTAATGTAATTTTCTCTTCTGGAGGCTTTAGATGAAAAGAAATTTCTTTATTTTGAACAATATTTAAATTTTATCATAATTATTTTTTGCTCACCCCAAGATAAGGGACTGGCTAATTTTTTTTTTTTTTAATCGATTTGTCTCGTAGCATAGCCTAAATTCTGTGTAGGAGTAAATCTTGTTACTTGCATTTACCAAATCTTAACTCCCTTTCCACAAATATACATAAATCTGGAATCCAGAGCTTTTTTGATATAAGGTTACAAGTTTGAGAAATGTGGAGTTATTGTAAGCATATCCTTTCTCACTGTTTTCCACAGCATTCCTTCAGCAGCACTTGATTTATTGGACCACATGCTGACACTAGATCCTAGCAAGCGTTGCACAGCTGAACAGACTCTTCAGAGTGACTTTCTTAAAGATGTTGAGCTCAGCAAAATGGCTCCTCCTGAGTAAGTGTTGGTGGCCACATAGTGACTTGAAAACTTCCCTTACCTCTAGAGACAAAAACTCAGTCCATTTTAAAGACAAGGACGACGAGGACATGGCCAAGTAAATCACAAATGGAAAGGTGTTAAGGAGATTTGGTCTGTTGTTCATTTTGTTTACCGCAGAATAGATTTAGGTATGGCGTTTGCTCTAATTTGATTCAAATTAATCTTCATTTGTTCCTGGGTTCCCAGCATATAATTCTGTATATAACCTCTTTGAAAGTATTCCTTCTAATTTTTACTTAGCCAGTCCATCTAATTGACTTCCCTTATGTCTGTGTGACCATTATACCTCATACAATTTTGATGGAGGCAGTTTGGTCTTTGAATCTTTCATCAAGATCTTAGGACTTAACTGAATTGTTCTACATTTTTATTCTGGCAAATAAAAAGTCTTTACAGTGTTATGGCTCTCGTGTCAGAATTTCTGGGCCCATTTTCTTATATTTAGAAAGACCGTCTTTGAAATATGGTTGGAATGTTTCTACAAAGTAGATAGTGACTCTTTTGAGTCTCATAAAGAGTTAAAATCTTGGAAACTGGGGCAGTTCTATCTACCCTGTCTTAAAGCGTCACTATGAGTCAGCATTGACTCAGTGGCACTGAGTCTGGTAGTTTGAGGGAGTGATTTTAAACTGCTACAGAGATGTCCAAACTCATTTACTATTCTAAAATTTTGATTTGTAGAATGTGGCTTGAAATGCATACTTTGCTGATATTGAAAACGACTGTTATGAAAAGATTTTGACAGTATTAATCTATTAAAGTAAGATTTTACCTACCCAGATTGTTTGCATTTTTTTAAAAAAGAACTTGTTTTTGCTCCTCGTAGACTGAATGACATAAATTGATTTTGCATAGGGAGGACTTAATCATGGTATATTTATGTGGTTCTAAGATTTAAGCGACCAGCACTCTGCACTCCTAGACTATTTGTAGATATTAACAGATTAATTATCTCTTTCCTCCGTGTGTATTCCCAATTATTCTTGTAATGCCAAGCAAGAACAGTTACAAGATTTAAATATTTGAATATGGGAGTTTGGGATAGCAAGTATCTCTTTGGAATTAACAAACTGCATTTCTCTTGTAGAAATCTTTGGGACTTTTCTTTGTCAGATTACCATCTGCCATGATTCCCCTTACATTGCTAGTCTCTATTTACTAACTTCTTTGGTTATTTTCATCTGTTTTTTTGTTTCCTTTTTTCCATTTCTCCGTTTTTTACTTTCTCGTTTTAATCCCTTATTTCCCCTATGCCTTTACCTCATTCATTCAGACATATTCCCATATACATTTTCTGTTTGCTTTGTCTTTTTCCAGCCTCCCACGGAATCAAGATTGCCATGAATTATGGAGCAAGAAGAGGCGACGGCAGCGACAAAGTGGTGCTGTGGTAGAAGAACCACCTCCACCCAAAGTTCCTCGAAAAGAAGTTACCTCAGGGACAAGTGCTGAGCCTGTGAAGAACAGCAGCCCAGCACCACCACCTCAGCCTCCTCCTGGCAAGGTGGAGCCTGGGGCTGGGGATACAGTAGGTCAGTGCTGGGATGGGCCTTTGTGCTTTTTATAAGCACATTTTGGCAGGTGTTGGAAGGTCAAAGTGCAAGGAGGGTGTGAAGAGGGGATGGTGGGGGAACATGTGTTTTTGGGGGGTGTGGGGTGACATGTTTTATCCAGTAAATCATTTATAAAGAAGTCAGTGCCTTCAATGTGAAGAGAAGAGAGAGATGACTTAAGTTTTCTGCATATAGGCCAGGAAAGTCTAGATTATATTCCTTCAATATCACAAGTAGGTTTGTGGCAATAATTGATGAATTAGGTGAGCCAAACTTAGAATTTGTTCTCCCAAAACACATAATTAGAACTTTGTGTATGTCTCTTGGATTTGAAAATAAGACCATCTTAGATTCTGAACATATTGTCACAACTGCTAAGTGTAATGAGTTTCATAGAATTTTTTTATTTATATACATTCAAAATGTGTGCTAATGAACTAATAACAAAGTAGTTTCCTGTGATGCCAATAATTTTTCTGAGCTTTAGACAATTCTCTGGTTGACTCATTTTTCTTTCCTGTCCATCCACAACAGTGGATCTCAGTGCTTGATACACAGTGGGGTCATCTAGGAAGCTTTAAAAATAGTCACTCCCAAACAGTTAATCAGATTACGAGCGATGGGACCTATGATATTTGAATTTTAAAATCCCTCCTGGTACTTCTGATGTACAAGGGGGTACCCCAAAAAACCCGGAATTTCCCTTCCCCCACCCCCCAAACCCATGTATTAAAATTTTTAACAAAACAATTCAAAGTACTTTCCATTACACTTCATATGTTTGCCAAATCTGCGGTTCCATTCTTGGAAGCATTTTCAAACTGATCTGTTAGGATAGCTGATAGTACCTCCCCAGTGTTTTTCTCCACCTCTTTTGTGTCATCAAATCATTGTCCTTTTATGGCCCTCTTTATTCACCGAAACAAAAAGAAGTTGTGTGGAGCGAGATCAGGTGAGTAAGGATGTGTGGGGCAAGAGTCGTGATTTTTTTCCCCAAAAAAAAACTGGCACACTGAAATGGCTGCTTGAGCAGGTGCATTGTCATGGTGGCAAAACCAGTCCCCTCCTCTGCCACAAATCAGGCCTTTTTTGTCGCACACTATTAACACAATCTTTTCAGAAGCTCTAAATTGAAAGCTTGATTAACAGTTTGACCTGATGGAACAAACTCCAAATGCACTACGAGTTGACATTTTCATCTGTTTGGAAGTTGATGGACATGCAGAACGAGGTTTGTCATCAATAGACATTTCACCTTTTTGAAATGAGAAAACCACTTGTACACTTGAGTTTTTCCCATAGCGCTGTCCTTGTAAGCTATGTTGAACAGCACAACCATTTCTGCAGCATTTTTCCTGAGCAGGAAACAGTATTTCATAGCGCACACTGTTCTCTTAAATCAGCCATCACAAAAAATGAGGTTGAACCAAAAGTGCTTTGACCAAAAAAAAAATTCACTGTGACCAGAGAGAACCTTCCCAGGCAACACCACTGGGTGCACTAACTCAGAGCGAGTTGCTCGATGCTCACCTAGCAGGAAAAATGCGTACTACAAAAGCTCGATTCCACCCACTGGAATTCCGGGGTTTTTTTGGGGGGGTACCCCTCGTAAAAAATGAGTTAAAAACAACTGACTTGAAGAATACAAATAAAATGAAACCACCTTTACACCCAGTGCAGAGATGTTTTAGTCCCTATGTATTTCAGCAAATGTGTAAAGAATAACAACATGAACAGTATAATCAAAGGCATCCAATTATACATGTAGAAGTTGTTGAACTAGAGAATGTTTTGCCGTGTATATTTTTGCCACAATTAAAAAAAAGTTAACACGAATAACTGCAATGAAGAAGAGAATGTTCTAAAATTGATTATGACAATTGTACAAGTCTTCTTGATACGATTGAGTTATTGAATTGTGTGATGTGTGGATTAAGTGCCAATAAAACTTAAGAATAACAACCTGTGTCATCACAAACGGAGGCTTTAAAAAAGAGACGTTCAAAATGAACTTCATTCTTTGGATATTGTAAGTTGCCATTGCCAGTTCAAGGCAGAGGCCCTTGCTCTGTTTCATCCTCTTATGTTAGCTCCTCTGTCTCCACAGGCCTTGGTGACATCACACAACAATTGAATCAAAGTGAACTAGCAGTGTTATTGAACCTGCTACACAGCCAAACTGACCTTAGCATCCCTCAAATGGCACAGCTGCTTAATATCCACTCCAACCCAGAGATGCAGCAGCAGTTGGAGGCCTTGAACCAATCCATCAGTGCTCTGACTGAAGCCACTTCCCAGCAGCAGGACTCAGAGCCCATGGCCTCAGAGGAGTCTTTGAAAGAGGCACCTCCTGCCCCAGTGCTTCAGCCTTCAGCAGAACAGACAACCCCTGAAGTCTCAGGCACACCAGCTGACACACAGAATATGTTGACAGTTCTCTTGAGCCACCTGATGAAAACCCAGGAGCCAGCAGGCAGCCTGGAGGAAAACAACAGTGACAAGAACAGTGGGCCACAGGGACCCCGAAGAACTCTCACAATGCCACAGGAGGAGGCAGCAGGTAAACAGACCGGTCATGAATCTCATTGAGCTCAGGTGCTGTTGATCCTCTTAAAAGTCTCTTTAACATTTTCTTTTTCACACCAATGGCCTCAGTTTCCATTTTTCTGTAACCTAGTCTACAGAACATAGCACCAGTGGTGTATTTCTTCTTTCATCTAAGCTTCAAAGTTTCTCAAAGCACCTTACATAAACTGATTGTTTTTCCACATCCTAGGAGGTAGGTAAATAAAACCCGTTCTAACTAAGAAAGCCACAGTCCTAACTATGATGCATCTTGAAGCACTGTGTGTGGTAGCCAACTAGTACTATCACTTGAAAATCTGCCTTCCAAACAAACCATTATCAGCAGATTATTATTCTTCATATCTAGCGTAGTGACTACTTGATACCAGAGTTTTACCTGGAATTCATAGAAACTAATAAAATACCATTCTTAATCTCTTGAATAATTTGGAAATGTTTCTAAATAGATAATTAACATCATGCATTTTCTTTCCAAAAGTAAGAGTACATAACGATTTCTTTAATTCTGGAAGAAATAATTAAATGGGTCCTAGATTAAAAAGTTAACATTACATGAGAACAATAGTCTGAAAAGAACACCTGTTAATGCTCTACATGACCACAGCTTGCAATTTATTTGAGGGTAAAGAAGTCTAAATTATGTGCTCTATTCTGAGTCATTCTGTGTGCAAATGTTTATGTTTTCGTATCTGAAAGTCTTTTCAACTCCTTGGAAATTTTTTACTCAACATGAAGACCTTATGAATTGGGGAATGAGAAGAGACACAGGGCTAACAAGATACACTACCTTCAACTTCAGGGTCCTGCATTCAATTTCTTGTGGGATGGTCCAGAAAGAATTTGTGTTCTTTTGGTAAAAGGTCAAACACATGGGTTTTTTTTTTCCACATGTATAGCTTTTTAAAACAAAGATAACATAATTAACTCTCCCATATTATTTTTAGGTAGGGAAACTGTACTTCAGAGTATTTAGATATGGTCCCACTGCCAAGTATTGGCAGGGGCAAAACTCAGACTTATTTCCTAATGTTTCTTAATTTTCCTCCACTCTCGTTATGCTGATTCCAGTTGTTGTGTTGTTTTTGTTTTTTAAGAAACTCCAGGTCATAAAATTTCAACAAGTTAATCTACAGTGAAAACAGACCTCTTTCTCATCTCCCAACCCACATACCTTGTCCTTCGCCCCGCCCCCAAAATTCTTCCTTATCAAAATATCTAAAAGTAATTCAAAGTATTAATTTTGATTGAAAGAAATTCGCCCAGTAGTTGAGCTAACAAGCTATCAGTCAGATGGTGAGGTTGAACTAAAAATAAGGCCAGACCAGTGGCCAAAAATTGTTGGGTTTGTTTTTCAGAGGAATGTGTATACGTGCTATTCCTCTCTTTATTGTAATCACCACTGGATTATCTAGTTGGTGTCTCCTCTGTCCTAATTCCCCTACCCCTCTCCTGCCTCTTTTTTGACCATTTCACTTCCACCAGAGGGCAGACTGGATAATCCAGCATAGGTGGCTATTCTATACTTGTTGTGAAAGGGTGATTGTTGGTACCCAGTAATTGAATGACGTTTTTTAATTATTTGTACATTTCATTAATACTTACCTACCTCCATTAGTACAGATTTTAAGGATTGGCAATATTGTTAACATCATAAAATCTTTGTTAACAGTAGAATTTGTCAAAATGTGATCTTTATTTTTAATTTCTTTTAAGTTTTGTTAGCCTTGCTTCAATGTTCCTTATAATACATCTGCTTGCTACTTTGGAATAGAGTTTAATTTTCTACACGTGGAAGAACTTGAAAAGGTGACAGCTGAAGTATTGCAGTATAATTCAAACCTAATTATGCTATTTACATAAAAGGCAAATTTTTCATATGAAAACATAATAGCTAGAAGAATATAAATTTAGATTTGCCTACTTTTACAGTACCCATTTAAACGTTGTTTGCCCTCAGTATTTAAAGCATCTGATGTTCCAAAAATATATTTTTTAATTAACTATACTGTGATGTTCATGGATATGTAGTGTTGACAGCAAAACGTTTTGAAATCTGTAGGCGTTTTTGTAGTACAATTAACCCTTCTTTTTCAAGATGTTTACTTTGTAAGTTGTAAAATCTGTGGCAAATATTTTTGTCCTTAAATTCATTTTCCTATGACAACCAGTCAATTGGTCAACAGCTAACTTAGATGGGTAATGTCTATAAGGTGATTAACTTTCTGATTCTTTCCAAAAGTCCACAATCTGGGAACACCCTCCACCTGGGATGGTTGTTACCTGACCTGTATATTGCATGTAGCACGTGGCCGCATTCTCCCACTGTACAATCTTACAGTCTTGAAGTGTTTTCAGAGTGCTTTCGTCTGCATGCCCAGGATATACATACTTTGTCTTTGCAAAATATAATCAAGATAAATACCAAAATATCTCATTATAACCAAGAACTGTTTGGGGCTTGTCTAGGTAAGAACTAAATTTATTATTATCACTAGCTCAGATAATGAAGACTTTAAGGACATTTAAATTTTTTGCTTTCTTCAGGAATAGAAAAACTATTTGGAAGATTCCTCAAAACATTGAATCTTTTCCTTAGCAGGGCACTTTTTTAATGTTTTTGGTTTTGTTTTGTTTTGTTGTCACAGCTGTTTGTATGTCCTCAGACTCAAGCATTTCGCATTTTCCTCATTCATTATTAAATGAATGCTATGCTCAGGCAACTTTATCCAGTGGTGGGAAACAAAAATTTAGGGAGTAATTCAGGAAAGTAAACATCTTTGGAAACACAGTATAGTATTAGTTCAATATATTTCTAAATACCTAGCTTTCATTCTTTACTAGCTAAACAGGTGTTTATCAAAAGTCCGTTCTATATAACACTAGATGCTATAGTGATTTTTTTCATAACATGGAAGAAATACAGGAAGTAGGAAAATAAAACAAATTAAGATAGGAGATCGCATTGATCCTTATAATAACTATAACTTAGGAAGCCGAATAACAGTATGGTGGTTAATGCCCCTTTCTTCAGAGTGTAATTATGGGGGAAAGGGACTTAAGTTTTGAGTTGCAGATGTTTATTTATACATGACAGTAATGGAAGATTTTTACTTTATTTCATCTCTCCTGTGAATTAAATTCTATTTCAGGTTAACCATATACCATTAAACTTTCTGTAAAATGTGTTAGTTAAGTTTATGCACGGTTTCTTGTTGTACAGCAAGACTATGTCTTAGAAACACGACCACAGCGTGTGTATTGTTCCTTCTCTTCTTTACACTTTAATTTTCATTAATGTTTTAATAAAACAGCAAAAGGGGGCAGAATGGCAGGTTGCCGCCAACAGCCCACACATTAGAACAGTTTCATAAAGAAGGAAATGGAAAAATGGAGGAAATCTCAAACAAAAATCAGAACAATAATTTGAAATATGGTCTTTTTACACCAGCTATTAGATCCAGAATGCAACTGTCTTATTTTTAATCACTTGATTTTATTTATAAATTGCAATTTCATGGTCCCAAGATTTTATTCTTTATATGTCTGGTTACTTGTATAGATAATTGTTGATGTTGGGCAATGAGAGAGTGTGTGGGTATGGGTGTGTGTTTGTTTAAGATCACATGTGATTCTTAAGACGGTGTTTAAAAGAAGTAACCCTTCCACAGCATGTCCTCCTCACATTCTTCCACCAGAGAAGAGGCCCCCTGAGCCCCCCGGACCTCCACCGCCGCCACCTCCACCCCCTCTGGTTGAAGGCGATCTTTCCAGCGCCCCCCAGGAGTTGAACCCAGCCGTGACAGCCGCCTTGCTGCAACTCTTATCCCAGCCTGAAGCAGAGCCTCCTGGCCAGCTGCCACATGAGCACCAGGCCTTGAGACCAATGGAGTACTCCACCCGACCCCATCCAAACAGGACTTACGGAAACACTGATGGGCCTGAAACAGGGTTCAGTGCCACCGACACTGATGAACACAACTCTGGTCCAGCCTTGTCAGAATCCCTGGCCGAGTCCCTGGTGAAGAATAGGACCTTCTCAGGCTCTGTGAGCCACCTTGGGGAATCCAGCAGTTACCAGGGCACAGGGTCAGTACAGTTCCCAGGGGATCAGGACCTCCGCTTTGCCAGGGTCCCCTTACCATTGCACTCAGTGGTCGGGCAACCATTCCTGAAGGCTGAGGGAAACAGCAACTCTGTGGTGCATGCAGAGACCAAGTTGCAAAACTATGGGGAGCTGGGTCCAGGAACCACTGGGGCCAGCAGCTCTGGAGCAGGCCTTAGCTGGGGAGCCCCAGCCCAGGCTTCAGCCTATGGAAAACTCTATCGGGGGCCTCCGAGAGTCCCACCAAGAGGGGGAAGAGGGAGAGGAGTTCCTTACTAACCCAGAGACATCAATGTCCTGAAAGACTCCTTCCCTATTCATCCTTCTATTCTATCATCCAAACCTTTAATGAAATATTTGCCAGAGCAAGGTCATTTTCTGCATTTGCCTACTGCAAAGCTGGCCGCTGTATTCCTTGCTCACTTGCTATTAGCAGGCGACTTACAGAATAATGTTGGCACCAGTTCCCCCAAGGATGGGCGATAGCCAGAACATTTACTTAATCCTACCTAGTAGGTATAAGTAGAGGACTAGGAAAGGGTTGTTACCTTGAAAAGTAAATGCTTTATTAGCTCATTGCCTGCATTTCTTGAGCAGAAGAGAAAGAACCATTTCAGTTTTGAGATACGACTATCAGAGTCTCTTTAGGTTTTGGAATTTTTGTTTGTTTTGTTTTGTTTTTAATGGTTTGTTTCTTTTGAGTTCTAATTTAGTTTTTATTTCAGAGACTAGTGCTCACAAAATTTGAACTGCTCTTAAGCTTTTGTTCTAAGGGAGACATTAATTTGGTTGATTTAAATAAATGTTTCCTTCCTCAACCATTACACCATTTTTTCTTTTAAGTGAATGCCTGCCCCCCCCCCCCACTTGAGCATCTTGAACATAACTTTTTTCCCAAATAAATTACTTACCTAAAAGTTTGCTCTGCTTTGGCAAGAAGGATGCTTCCTCTCCCTGCACATAAGGCAGGTTGTAGAAAGTAGCATTCTTGAGCAAGTAGGTGGACTTTATCCCATCTCTTACCTTTTGCCTCATCTTTATAGTTTCTATCGTTTGGGGTTTTTTGTTTTTTGTTTTTGTTTTTTGAGGCATTTGTTTAGAGGTGAAAAACATAGATGTCCAAGACCCTGGGATAATTCGTTAACTTTTTTGAAATAAAGGAAAGGAAATTGAAACTCTTACATCGTTCTCTGCAACTCTTCAATTTCTAAAGGGGTTTTTTGGTTGCTTTTTTTTATTTGCTTGTTTAGACCATGTTCTAATGGAGGTTGGATCATAAATTCAGAAAACCTAGGACATTGCTGCTGAGCAAGGCTTAGAAATGCTACCATACCAAGAGGGCTAATAAGAGCAGTCAGCATATTGTTTACACATATATTTTTATGTAAAACAACAGCATTGTAATATTGTCAAGGAAAATTACATTGTGAAGTACATGGAGACATAATTTCATTTAGGGTATTTTTCTGAAGCTGTATCAATCAATATCTGATACCTTTTTAAAAAAAATAATTTTTAAAGAGTGGACCTTGAGAGAGAACAGTATTGACATAATACACATCCTAGCATGTATATCCTGCCAGTTCTTTTAGGTATTTTCCATCAGAGAGAAGAGTTGGGGTTCTGGTAAAGGGGGTTACGTTATGGCTTCCTGGCCAGAATGTTGCCTTATAAACAGGAAACGGAAAGAGGCTCTCAGGTTGGGGTAATCTGAGAGGCTTCTCATTTTGGCTTCCATTTATATTGAAAATCAGAATATAAAGTTTTAAACACAGATACACATATAAATTATCTGCAGATTTAGACTTGTAAACCAGATTAGTCCCCTTTTATAAGGAAAAGGCATCTTGGAGAATAGTTTACAGAATTCAAGTGAATCTTTGTTTTGATGCCAAGTCCATATATAAAAAATAAAAACTATAAGAGAAAAGGTGCACTAATAAAATTTAAAGAAAAACCATTTTGAGAGACGTACGTGAAGACTATTTTCCTTTGTTACTGAAATAGATAGATAACTGGTGTGTATATTTCTTTCCTAGTCTGATTTTTGGTCTGGCCTTTTCCTCAGGGCCAAACATTTATTAGAACCTTTTAACTGTTTTGGCATTGGCTTTTTGTACCAGTGCGTCCAATTAGATTCGCTAGGCTCACTGTGAAACTGTTGGTAAATTGCTTTTAAAGTTCATCTGAACCTCCTGTCTGTTGACTTCTTAGTCATCAGACATGAGCATTTGTATTTGAGAATACTTTCATTTCAGATTTAGGTCCCCATTCTTTATTTAAGAGCCTCAGCCTGGGGTACTTTCAAATATATCTGGTAAAAATTGATTTCCCATCAAATATGAATAAAATTCTCTATTTTAAGTGAATTTTGGTCATCGGTTATCAATAATGTTTTACCATTCCCCAGTCCTAATTTTTAATTATGCCAAATATCCTAAATAATATATAGTAGTCTTTATGCTCCCATCCCTACTAGGGAAGGGACAAGGGTATGTATGTATGTATGTATATATATATATGATTCCCATCTCACCACAACCTCATTTGGGGAATCTAAACACTAAAATTTTGATAATTGAACTCTTCTAAAAGCAGAGGGAAAAAGAAATCCACTTAAATATCTTGGAACCTATGAAGGAAGAAAAGGTCTTTGTTAATTTTTCAACCATAGTATCTATGAACATGATGGAAGTAAAGGTTTGGCAGGGTTTCATCTTTGCTGTTAGAAAATTACCAACTCAATTCCATTAAATGTGGTTTGGGTTCTGTTTTAATTATACTGTGGGTTATATTAAGTCTCTTAAATACATTATTTTGAACAGATGCGAAATCTGATCTATTCATGAATGGGTGACAAAACTGGTTTGACCAGGATCATTTTTGTGGTTTTGAAAGCAAATATGCTTGACCCAATTTCCTTCATTTTTTTCTTCAGCTGTCCAACAAACATTGAAAATGAAAGCAGATCTGTATGTTAGGGCAGTTAGCACAAATTTGTAACTAGGACTTCTGTTAGCTTATGCCAGAGACATAACCACTTGTGTTTGTATATATTTATATATAATATGCGTATATATAGTGCTAAAATGGTTACCAGCAGGTTTTGAGAGAGAATGCTGCATCAGAGAAGTGTCAGTTGCCACCTCATTCTCCCTGATTTAGGTTTCTGACACTGTATTTCTTTCTCTCTCTTGTTTTGCCCCCCATCGGGTGTACCTTGACTATGTACAGGTATTTTGTAATATATTTTTTAATTTTTTTTTTCTTTCAGTTTATAAAAATGGAAAGTGGAGATTGGAAAATTAAATATTTCCTGTTACTATACCACTTTTGCTCCATTGCATTTACTTCTTAATCTGTACTCTGAGCATATCTAATCATATCTAAAAGGGCTCCCCTACCCCAGATCTTAGAGGCTCTCTATCTCAAAACCACTGTAGACCCATAAACTAGTGCCCCCCCCCAAAAAAAAAAAACAAACAACCAAACAAACGGGTTTGAAGAGGAGGTGCTTGAAAATAGTAGGAACTAGAAGACAATAAGAGTTGATGGGGAAATCATAAGATAGATTTTTTTTTTCTTTTAAGTAGAGAATGGTTCCACAAAAGATGGTAGTGCCAGACCATCAAAAGAGTTGAGTTCCATGTACCCTGACTACTCCTGACAGGAGAGGTAAGTGGGTTTTGAGCTCAACTGCCATCAAGGGAAATTGGTAAGAGGCTGTTAGACCCAAAGTGTAGTCTTTCAAAACAGAACCACCTCCCCACTCCTATCCTGCCCCTTCCAGTCCCAATTCTTCCCATGATGTTGATAGGGTAAGATTGCTTGATGCATTGCCAACCCAGGACGTGGGCCAAAGTTGTTTAAATGGTAAAATCCTAGTACTTAAAACCTTTCCCATCCAAGAAGAGACTTAACTTTCTCTTCCCTTTCATAACTTAGAGCCTTGATACTGTTCTTTTGTGTATGATGCAGTCCTGCTAGTTACGACCTAAATAGACAGAAGGGAGATAAAAACCCAGGAAGGAAGTGATCGGATTGAGTAGTCATACAAGGTTAAAGAGTGTACCAGAGCAAGGAAGATCGGGAAATAATTTAATTCAAAGACTACTGATCGATGAGCGAGTCCCCCAATTTTAAATAGGGTGTTCTCTTTCCTGTAGGATAAATAATCATTACAGAGAATAGAGTGTTCAAAAGTGTTCTGTTTCCTAGAATCCTGTTTCCCTGGCTAGTCTATAAAAAATCATTTTAGGTCTCTATATATTGCAAGTTAATAGCATCAACCTACTGGAGAATACTTGTTCTCATTCACAGTAATGGCTGTCTTAAATTCTAGGCCTAACAACCTGGACTTTTTTCCTTTATTCCCCAAACCATTGCTGACTAGAAACATTAAGAACTTAAATTTATTACACACAATCTTTCCCCAAAGGTGTAGTGGATTATGTTTTGGACAGTTAACCACAAGGCTAGCAGTTCAACACCACCAACTGTTCCGCAAGAGAAAAAACGAGATTGTTGGCAGTGTTGGAAACCCACAAGGGCAGTTCTGTCCTGTAGGGGTTGCCGTATGTCAGAATTGACTTGATGGCAGTGAATGAGTGATCTTTCCCCAGACTGGCATTCTTAACTGTATGGTAAAGTTAATGCCAAAAAGTTCATTGTTAAGGCTCTTGTTGAACTGGGATTTCCATTTTTAAATAAAAGTTACTCCCATCACTTTTTTTTTTAATAAAGGGATAGCCCTCTCACGTTTTAGTTATTTTTAGAGCTAGGTAGCATGGAAGCTGGAAGTACCTGGAGTGAGGAGATACCCATTTCAGGAGAGGAGGTAGGGCCAGAACTGCTAGGTCTTCCAGTTAGTCTGACAGGCAAGGTAAGCATTGAACATTCTCAGGCACTTTGAATACCCTTAGTTTTACTGTCTAGTCGTGGCATTTATCTAGGATACGGACTGCTAAGAGTGGCAGTAGTGGGTTATGTGTTGGCTGCTAACTGCCAAATTAGCAGTTCTAAACCACCAGTGGCTCCGTGGAAAAAAGATGGAGCTTGCTTCTTTCATCAAGAGTTAGTGGGCGGGGGGAAGGGGGGAAGCAGGGTAGTTGTTACAGTCTTAGAAACCCACAAGGGCAGTTGTGCTCTGCCTTACAGGGTCATTGTGAATTGGCATCGCCTCCATGGCCGGGAGGAAAAGGTGGTTATGAGCTGACTTTGACTCGATAGTTTGTAGCCTTGCAAATACTCCAGTGGGAGTGTACACCAAGCCAAAGTTGACAGACTGGGACAAGTGTGGGGGATTGAAGCAATTGCTGGTGGTCATAGACTTGTCTCTTCATCTCCTGTGCACTCACTTCTCTCCATTTCCTTCCCACCCTCTCCCCCTCTTCCTCACCAACCAGCTCCTATGATTTTAGACCTACTGAAGGTATGGACTGCTTAACCCTGCTGGATATTTAGAGTGACTACTGCTTCATAGTTTTGAAAGGTAGTGAGGTGGTTCAAGAGACAAAAGTCTGTTCAGAGCCTCACCCTAAGGGGTGTAGAATAGACAAAGGAAAATAGGCATACTGTCCAACTGCTGAGAATTAGGAAGGAGCTTTTAATGTCGTATGAGGTACAAGAGGTTTCTAGAGTGATAAGGCAGGGAGTCATTTTCAAGTCTTCCTCTCACCTGTCCAACTCCTCACGCTCTCCCTCATGTCCTGAGGCTGGCTTTTGCTGGTAACATTTCTAAGCTCTGTTACAGATGGCGTCAGTGGGATGTAAACCTGGGAGAGAAGGGGCCATGCTGTCCTTGAGAAAGCAGAGGAGTACCACTTTGATGCCCTGGTGATTAATCACTGGGCTGCCAAACCTCGTTTTGACCTCTGAACTGTGCTCATTCCATCTCTCATTAAAATTACTAGGTGGTCCAAGGCCTCAAGAAAGGGGGTGCTATGTAGTTTTCTTTCTTGGATAGTTGGTTAGGAGCCCTGGTAGTGTATGAGTTCTGCACTGCAAACCACAAGGTCAGCAGTTCGAAAACAGCTGCTCTTCAGGAGAGAGAGAAGGGTCTCTACTCCCTTAAAGAATTGCAGTCTCAGAAACCCACAGAGGCAGTTCTAATTCGCCCTATAGGGTCTCTATAAGTCAGATTCAAGACTATGACAGTTTTATTTGGGTTTGTGATGGATAATTGGGAACACTGGTGGCACAGTGGTTGAAGTGCTCAGCATTAACCAAAAGATTGTTTATTCAAAGCCAGCAGCTACCGCACAGGAGTAAGATGTAGTATTATTTCCAAAAAGACTGACAGCTTTGGAAACCCTACGGGGCAGTTATACTCTCTCTCTCAGAGTTACCGACCCAACGGTAATAGGTAATAATAGCTAGTAGTGAAGCCTTCTCAGTATGCTGCAACATGCTTCTCCAGAATAAGAGATAATGAGTAAGTTCATATGAGCTTAGGTTCCCTGGGCCCTGGGAATAGATGGATTTGAGGATGTCTTGCCCAAAGATACCACTAATAGCTTTCTAAAGAAGGAAGTAAATTTTGGCCAAGTCAAACCATCCCTGAGGGAGGTGGGATGAAGAGATCTTAAAAAGACCACAGTGTAGCAGTCAATGCTAGGTGAAAGCAAAGCCTAATACTTAGAGGAGGGCTTCTCCCTCAGGGGCCGTCTAGTGGGCTGTTCTAGGAGAGGGTCCATCATCTTTCTCCAGTGTCACAGAACCACAACAATGTCTAATGAGGGATACGCTCAGTATGCATCAGTTTGTAGCCAAACACTGTCCCCACCAAGGCTTGTGCAATTTTGAATGCTCTTGTCTCAGGTGAAAAGAGACCAAATCAAAAGACTGAGAAACTTTAGAAGTCTGGTCTTTGTACAGATCCAGGAAACTACTGTGTTTGACGCTGTACTAGTATTTGTCATTTCTGTCAGGGGACCCAAAGTCTTTTAAAATGAAGCTCCATGAGGAGGTGGAAAGGAGAAGGGGCAGCCTAGTACCTGGGCTACAGAAAGACTTAAGGTATGATTTCTTACAGAGAAAAGATAGGAATAGGTGCTGGAAGGGGACTTTGGGGGATTCCAAGTGGTTTGGGCTAGTGAAATGTAGGGGATAATTGCTTCAAGGGCTTATGCATCATTTCCGGGAGGTCCCTGTTCAAGCACCACTGTGAGTTTAAGGTCTTGGCCAAAACTCTTAGACTGGGATATACTATAAAGACAGGTTTTCCTTCAAGAAGCTAGACTGTATTACATGAATGACTCATCTGAGGTCATTTGCTTACTCCTGCTGTCTACTTAGTTCAAGAGAGTAATGCAGGAACAAAGGTAATGGCATGAAGGCATTGTGGCTAAAAGTTCTTTGTATTTCTTTA